AGGGATTGACACCCAAGGTCTTTCATGAGTACACTGCTCGTATGGGTGTTGTATATTATTAGGATATCATGTTTTAGTGGGAGTTTGTATTTTCATTGCTTTATGTTTTGGATACATTCGTGTATTTTGATATTATTCTGTCCAAAAATAAAGTATTCAGTTTATTTCACTTTGTTATTATGTTCAACATTGATCTCACTTAAGAAATAAGGTTGGAACAGTTGGAAATAGACATGTTTGGATCACATAACATGTAATTTCCATGCTACGCTCCCATGATTGATCTGTGTCATTTGGTTGTATGGGTGTACGTGACCATCGATAGATTTAGTCACGCTAAATGTGATGAAAATCGCTTTGATCCTATATCAATATAACTAATGGACAAGATTGTTTGGAAATACCTATAATAATGATAGCAAAATTTTGAGCTCATAAGGTTGTGCACATTTGTAAGATTACACGTATGGCCCAGTGGGAGATTGTTGGAGAATTCCGACATATATGGGGCCACACACGTAATATATTAAAATGTGTGGTGCTATTGTTTAAAGATTAGTCATTAAAGTGATCTAATAAAGCTAATTTTGGACTAATGGGTATTAAATGTCATGGAAATAAAGTGTAGATACCGGAATGATTATTTTAAATTGATGAGGGGCCAATTTAAAATAATTGAAAGTTGATAACTTCTCAACAGTTATTTATTATGGTTATGGTTCCCAATTTGAACGTGAATTATCCATCTCTTTTGCATCCCCATCAACAAAGGAGAAATCTAAGGAATCACGTATCAATTGGAAAAATCACAACCCGTTTAAGCAATCACATCTATGGATCAAGGTACGCTTCCACTTCTGATCTTCTCATGGATTTCAATATGGAGTATTACATGTGTATATGGAAGGGTTTGATGAAAGTCTTAAGAATTTTTNTATGGATCAAGGTACGCTTCCGCTTCTGATCTTCTCATGGGTTTCAATGTGGAGTATTACATGTGTATATGGAAGGGTTTGATGAAAGTCTTAAGAATTTTCAAATCCTATAAATCTTTGTTAAATTTTCTGGCCAAATGCCACACAGTGTGGTTGGCCTGATATGGTATCAATTATTACTGGGAAGAGCCTTCAATGAGCTTTCTTTGTATTACTCAAATGCAATTGACAGCTTACGGGCAACCTTTCTTGGTATTATCATAGAGGGGAAGTAGCGTTGGAGATGCTGGTGGAGCTGCTGATCGGGTTCTCAACCAAATTCTAACTGAAATGGATGGAATGAGCGCGAAAAAATTGTTTTCATTATTGGGGCTACTAACAGACCTGACAAATTGACCCTGCACTTCTATGTCTTGGTCGTCTTGATCAATTAATTTATATCCCTCTGCCAGATGAAGAATCACGCCTTCAAATTTTCAAGGCTTGCCTCTGAAAATCACCACTTTCCAAAGATGTCGATCTGAGAGCTCTCGCCAAATATACTCAAGGATTTAGTGGGGTTGATATCACAGAGATATGCCAACGGGCCTTCAAATATGCAATAAGAGAAAATATTGAGAAAGTATGACTCCCTCCTACTATAATTTATTTTTTTGTGCTTGCAGACTTAAGCCCTTAGTTTTTAAATCATGTCATTGTTCCTGTTTCCTGTATCTTTTTCACCCTTCAGTAAACTCTCAGTAACACTGCTGTTTATCAGAATACTTTCTACATGAATTAAAATGCCATTTTCTTGTCATCCCGTTATTTTGTGCCTTTGTGTGTTAGATTCTTGTAAGAAGCTGGACGTTCATTTGGAAGTTTGTCTTACTGTGTTGGCTCCTCATCTTCTGTTACTAGTTTGGTCAATAACTGGATACCTTTTTATTGACTCTAGACTTAGTCTTTCTAGAATTTCTGACTTCTGCATGTTAAAGGTATTATTTTTCAGGGAAGTTGAGTTGTCGTCAAAATCTTAACTGAATATATTTAACCTAGTACTGACCTATTCCGAAAGTCCCCCAAGTACAATAGATTTAGCTCTGGTTGAGGTCGCAGAAGGCCTTGGATTTATTTTGGCTTGGCAACTCCAGTTCATGTTATTTATTTTACTGTGATTTTTACAACCATTTCTGATATTGTTGATTTTTCATTTGCTCATATGAATTTAATGTATAACGAGTATCTTTTAAAATTATGGGTGTTTGAGGTCGTTGGTAACATTTGTCCTTGTTTCAGGATATTGAAAGGGAGAGGAAGATAAGGGATAATCCTGATTCCATCGACGAGAACATCGATGATGAAATGTCTGAGATCAAGCTTGCACATTTCGAGGAGTCCATGAAATTTGCTCATAGAAGTGTGAGTGATGTTGACATACTAAAATACGGGGCATTTGCTCAAACTTTGCAGCAGTCCCGAGGATTTGGAACTGAATTCCTGTTTGCAGATTCAGAAGCCAGGATTTCTGGATCTGACCCTTTTGCTGCTTCTTCTGGTGGAGCCGATGAAGATGACTTGTATAGTTAGTGTATGATTTTGGGGTCCAATATACCATTAATCTAGGCTCAGAAAAACACAAACGAACACTACATCTACCAAGGCTCGACCCAAAATGTCACATTTACTGTGGTACAAGTCTTCTCTCAAAACCCCACAAAGAAGAATGGATGGCAGTGGTGATAGGAAGAAGAGGTAACAATGGTGGGAATCACTCCAAATACCCCCAAGTCGATTACCCCCTCATGTTGGCCCTCTCTTCTATTGGCTCTCTCTTCCCTCATTTTGCACAAAGCACATGCACACACACACACACACACACACCATACAAAAAAGGTTGCTGTAGGATGAATATATAGATTGGATGCTAGGTCACTTAATTGGGCTAACAATATGGGCCACAATAAACTAAAGCCTAAACCAACAAATGGGCTACCAATTATCCCAAACCCACAATCTAATAACTAGTACTTAGGCCATTCATAAGTGTAGGTCATTCCGAGTCGAGCTAAGTCTGTAGTGTCGCTAAAATAATCTGATTCATCATCGCCCTGATCTATTAGGTATCAACTAAAAAATCTGTGACCAAACAAAATACACAAATTTATACTTGCACAATCAAGATAACCAATAAAATTGATATCACAGACTTTACCTCGTGTTTCGAACCCGAAACACATACCATACCTGCTTCATGTACTCACCAGAGTTAAAGTCAAGAACATTCAAGTAGAAACAGATAATCACAGCATTCAATCAAAAGCAAACAAACACGAGATGGAGATATCAAATAGATAACACAGATCTTTCAAACATGTTTATAGAGAACAACAGATTAACACCAAGTCAATCAACAGGCCAACATATACGCAACAAATGCATAAATTGTTGACTTATGGTTGATCATGACCTTAATGTTTTGATTATAACAAACAAATCCATCTTGTTTACTAACAAATTGAATTGAGTGTTTAACTCTTCAAAGTTATAAAGATAATTATTCACACTCAAATGAAGTACAAGTGAAGTTTAAACGATCATTCAAGACAAATCACTCGAGACAATAGTGATTTGCATGCGATAATCAAATTGGAACTTAACAAAATTGCAAATCAAGATACAAATCAAAGAGATGCTCAAAGAGATCAAGAACTTTGAAGATGCAGTTATTTATCGAACCTTATTTTTATATGTAAAGGTATAACTCATCAATGTTTAGTAAGTGCATAAAGCTCAAGTATTTCTCATAAATTTATCACTTACATAAATTGATTTGACATGAAAATGATTTTGAACATTTGTAATATATCAAAAATCTTGAAAAATCATTTTCAAACGTCCCTCAAACGAACACACTTCAACTTTCAATCAAAACGTTATACTCCGATTTTCAATCTCATAATTGGGATAGATTTTTGACATAGACAATGATCTAACTTGAAGATGATTTCTGAATCAAAGTGAGTCAGCTTTCTAACCCAGTTTGAATCACCTTAATTGGATATCGAGAGAAAAAGATATGATCAAAATACTTAAAGCTGTGCGGCCTGTCGGTTGACTTCAATCTCATATTGGGACAGATTTTTGACATAAAAA